TGATGGTGCTGGTGGTGGTTATTGGCCCTCTTCCGGCAATAACCTACCCCGAAATTCGTACAACGTTCCTCTTCCGACTACCGGCAGCATCAACTGACCCAACCCTTGTTAATAATTTATTCCCTTTCATAGACTGCATATTCGCCCAAGTCCGGTTCCATTATTTTCTCTCTCTCCGTCCCCTTAACGAGAGACTTCACACAACAGCATCGGTATCTATTTTGTATGGAATCGTGCAATCGTTGCATTGGAACCTTTACATGCCTGTTGTTAGATGAACAGCCTCCGTAGGAGTGTTTTGTCCGTAGAATTGAAAAAAACAAGTTTGGCTGGAAACGCACTCTCATCTCACATCACGTACCTGATTTCAATGTTCTCGATCGTTTGCTTGCGCCCTAACTGCCGGCAACGGCGCATTTCGGTCATTCTTAGTCAGTCTGAATGGCCGTCCTGTTTATGTTGAATTCCGATTATCCTCCCCTTCCGAATAGGTTCTGTGAACGATTTCCTTGTTTACGGTCGTCCTTCTTATTCGTAGCATATGGAATGGTAACATCACAAAGAATTAGGATATCTGGTTTTGCCACGTATAATATGAATGAACAATAGTAACATGTGGCTTAATGTTGTTATTTTTTCCGCCTTTGTACGATACAGTCCACCATGTCATGCGGTCCACACATATATGTCCACACACTGTTTAGTCTAATCAAATCAAGGTGGATTTTCAGCGCAATTACAAGAGTTTGTGGAATCAGAAAAAAAAGCATGCAGAAATTGAATTTTTTTTATTTGCCGAGGTAGAAGCGGTAGTCTCATTCCGTCGAGAGGGCACGTTGACCCGGTATCGGGTTATGCAGAAGTGGACGGAAGTAACAGTACGAGCAAAGATGATTTCGAATTCTGGATGTTTTCGGTGTTGAAACGGTCTGAGATGGGGAAGTATGGAAGGGCATCCGATGGGATTCTCGGGGCATAGCTATGGTAGGTGTCACTGTTAATTGTCTTGGTTACTATTAATTACTTAACCGTGGATCTGGAGATGCAAACCCCATTACCACTTAGCTGAGAAACGTTTACGAGTCGTCGTATAACGTTTTAGAGGGGACCTCACCTCATGACCCAAGGAGTACGTGAAATGCTGTTTGCAGGTTTACGAAAGCAGCCGACCTGTCGCTGTGAATGAAAAAAATAAGATGCAGGCGTGCTGTGAACGTGCATTGAAAAGGACGCATAAAAATAACTTGGAGAACAACTGTATGCATCGATAGTGATGTGGAGTTTTGACCACACAAGCTTGTAAATCGAGTTGTGTTCTTGGGATATTTTTGAAGAAAAGAGACATACTACAGGTCAACCCCCAGAGGGAAGCTACAATACCGATTTGCTAATGCTGCAAAACACGGTGTATTCCTAGTGTATTCCCAGTTATTTCACTTGAGTGTACCTAGCAAGCGATGTTATCTGGCGTCGATCGTGGTCTCCGAAGCATAATCTGTCAGATGTCTTCAGGCATGCATTAAAACACGGCTTCAAGAGTGCAAACGTGCAAGCAGCTAGCTGGTACTTCGGCGAATTTTTCTTGGATACTTTTATGTTCATCAGCAATTTTTCCATCAACAAAGCACTTGTCGAACAAAGCAGTTTCTGGTTTGTTGTGTCAGCGACCTGGTTGACAGGAGATAAGAACTCATCTCTCCAGCCTCGCATTCAATTAGCTGCTTACACAATATTTGTACTGTTAGCAGTGTGGTGTGAGCAGTTGAACCTGTTTAAGCCACTGTCACAGAACGTTTGAGTGGCTACCACAATTGCTTCCAGGTACTCCATACCATGTGGGTCTTCCTAGTACAATGTGGTGTGTGGACATATATATCGGTCGGGCGGCTGATCTCCCAGTCCGTTTCGTTGCTTCTCTATTTCCGTCTGCTCCTTTACCCCTCTTGAACCTTCCTGCGTCCTAGGAAGTTGCTCACGAACTGGTGACTAAAATCCATAAGCTATATAAGGACCAAAGCAACGAATTGAGACGACTGGTCGAATATCCACAGTGTTGAAGGATTGTGGTCATGAAAATATCGCTTCAGTTGGTGTCTTCTTTCGGGAAGCTAGCCTTATTACCTGTGAAGCTTTTTTATGATAGAGCCATAGTATGTCTGCGAGTGTATCTTTAGTGGGACGACAAAATAAAATGACCAGCTTAGCCAGAAGAGACGTTTACTCAAGGAAGGTGTACATAACTTATCGCCAAACATGGTCGTGCGAAGCACCAAAGTTATTAGAAAGCGTGAGATATTGGCGAACATAAGGTTCGCGACAGCGAGACAACTGGACCGATTAAGATAACCGGCAGATGTGCAGAGAAACTGATCCGAGTGAGGAATCAGTGCAGTGGAGAATGAACCTTAAGTAGTACTGGGGAAGTGTGATGACCACAGACTGATAAGCTCTCAGAAACCTTCTAAAATGTAAGTAATTTCTTGAGGATAAGCTATACGGAACATGTGGAGAATAATAAAACTGGTATCTTAAGTATCTGATAATGCCATCACATCTATTAAGTGGCATTCCAGGATGGTCAGTCCGAAACACATTAGTCGTCAAATTGGGTGATCAACGACTTATTAAGTAGTATGTCACGTCAACGGTATCTAATATCGCTCCAACCGAAATACGGAGCGGCTTTCGTGCAGCCTACTGAGTTGAATAATAAACCAGTTAGTGGATCCTCAGTGACCACTCAATTGCAAATAAGAATTTGTGGTTCTGATAAGTGGGACGGACAGGATTCAGTGGGCGGATGGTGATGGCCTGCGTTAGCACGGTTGTTCTGATGATAGCGTTACAACTCGCGAATTCGAAGTTTCTAGGAGCAGATCGCTTACCCTTGTTGTGCGGTAATTCTTTATCTGACTTGGAGATTGACAGCTCAACCTGAAGCTTCGAATTTTCGAACCAAATAAGACGTAAGTCTGGCAGTGGTGTCTAGTCTGATGACACTGTGAGCTCATCCGTTTTTTGGTTATCATGATGGGATATGACGTCATAACATACCGATGATTGGACGGATACTTAGACGAGGTTTAACAGGAGGTTGAGTTAATTCGTGTGTACCACCTGCTTAATCACAATATGGCTCATTGACTGAGCGCCAACATGGGCGGTCTTCCTGCGGTCGTTGTGGCACAAAACTGACGTTCGGCCTGTCGGTGCGAATGCCAAACGAACCAGGCACCAGATGTGCGCTTCGACAGGTTGATGGGGGACAATATATAAGTTAAAATCTCTACTCAATATGGCATCATTCTCATCTGTACACGTTTCCAGACTTAGTCAACAATCCAAGGTAACTGAATGGTATAATAGCCTCTAAGAAAAATCCGAGCAGTAAAAGATGGCACCAAAAAACAACTCTGGTTACCCCGACGATGGCCCCTCTATCGGGAAAACGGTCTAATTTGCAATGGAGGATGACTGGGTGTGGGACATTGGGACACATTTAAAGTACCGCCGAAAATACTTATCAGCATTCTATTTGACACGTGACTTATATGGACGCTTACGAATTTAAACGGGCTCGAAACTAGTGATAGACCTTACCCGTTCACAAGTTGAAGTGGAACAAGTCGCGAATTACTGTTTGGAGTTATTGGGATCTAACTGTTATTATGACCCACACGCATCCAGTATACCACAGTATGTCTGTCAGACCTTATAACCTTGTCATCTGTGTGACTAGCTCACCAAACGAACCCATACCTACGAACCTCTACGCTACTGTGTCTGTTACTGTCATCTTTCCGTCTATCAGAACTCACAGGTTTTCTTGAAGCTAAAGGTTTGTCCCGATAACACCCAACAGCCAGTCAACAGATGCTGACATATTACAGAAGTACGAATGGTTTACCAGTCGGAGTAGTGCTTAAACTATCTCAGATGAGGAGTGTATACCCTCGTTTCGCGGTTGGTCGGAACATTCCAAAAAGTGGTGGCTAATCCATCTCGGTGGCGCTCGTGCTGTCATTTTCTTTCCTGATCGTCTGGTTGAGCGCTTGGAGTTATAGGCAGCTAAGAATGCTTGCAAAAGGTCAGCACTAAGTTCCTCCGTCATCCACTTTTTTCCTATGTTCTAACTATAATTAAATAAAATTTGCGGTCGTACATTGTGGACATTGTCATTACTGTCCCTGAAAATGAGAATGATAACACACTTGATAAAACTGCCTCTTCAACCCCTAAAAAGAAGCTATTGGTGCTTCAACAAATGGCGATTAGAATGTTGCCCCCTCCCAAAGAGGCCACTTCTCAATAGTAGATGGTTTTTTGATCACTCTGGGGCAGATGAATAGTCTCTTCTATGAGTCTCTTCATTAGATAAAAAGATACCTAGTTGATCAGTCTTTTGACTCGCTAGCCCTCAGGGCTCTCGGAATTTAACAGTTGTGCGCTCTCGCTTATTTTATCCCAGACTACCCTCGACTAGCATTGGAGGACACGGAGCTGGTTCCACTCCATATGACTATAGAATCACTGGCGCGATCTTGAAAGCTCAGATATAACTTGGAATACCGCTAGGATCATTAACAGCCTTATCCCAGATTGTGTAGACTTGGCATCCTTCCAAACAACTTCACTAGCATCAGTGTTAGCAAAAAGGCAGACATAGAGATTCTCTTCCGAACTAAAAATCTGGAACTTACCAAGAGAAGTCAGTCAGCGCTTTGTGCACCAGAGGATAAATTTCCAGTATAGAAAATTAGAGCGTCGATTGATCCTTTCTAAAACCTTGGAAGTATTCGCATAAAATAATTGGAAGAGGAAAGTAACAAAACAAGGAGCCGTCAACGTAGAAATTTATCACCGAACTACTGTCACTGAGATACATGAGCGTACATGGAAGAACATAATTATGTCAGATCTTGGTATGTGTAAAAACTGTCTAAATTCGGGCCGTTTCTCGGAAGTAGAAACGACTGCAAACAAAACAGGGTGGTGTGGGTCGAAGATGAATACCAGAGGGTACTACCTCAAGGTCAGTGCTTGCGCTTCGAGTATTCCCCATGTTACGAGATACACTTCTGAGGATCAAAGATAAAAGTCCAGAAAACGAAAACAGGCAAGCCTACTTGCCTACCCACATGCTCCACATCCAGCTTGGTGCTTCTACGCACGTCCATGATGCGCACCAATGACGCGGTTCCGACATTTCCGTGAATTGTACCCTTTCCTTGCCACCAAGACGGAGCACATGCAGATTACGGGAAATTATGGTCCTGTTTTATTTTAGTTACACTTAAATTGTTGATACAGCCCTGTTTCAAAACAATTAAGGCTAAATCCACCGAAATTTAGTGAAGTATAGTTGCAAGTTAAGGGCAAGCCCAACTTTAAGGGCCCCACCATATGGCCTTGGCGATATCCCAATCGATGATCGACCAAAATGCGAGTGATGTTCTACATCTTTGAAGTCAAATCGTGCGACCAAATTTTGACTATGCTTATCGCCATTGACTTCTACGACATTTGGGTATATGATAATTCATGTAATGAAGGGCATTAAAACTATCTGAACGCATTAGGTTTTCCTTGAACTGGCTGGAATTTACTGGATTTGCGACATCTCTCGTGTAGATGGTAACCAAGGGTCTGAAATATTGAAACCTGTCTGGTTGGAACTACGATAATAGATCTCCTGAGAGTGATTGAAAAACAAGTAACCTGAAGGTATTTCGTCCTAATATTCTTATTCCTGCAGAGTTTTCTCCCAAGAGTTTTATTACTGAGATACGTCTCCAGAGACTGACCCGAAGTAGTCACTTCTGTGCGTTTGTACCTCCTGAAGGTTGATTCTTTAGGGCAGAGTAGTTGTATTTTTGGGAATGGCCTCACGGTGGTAACATCCGGTGTCCGGTATCATTCTAAACCTGTGGATTTGGCACGATGTTGTGCAGCCACGTTTAAATGGGAGCTACAGGATGCAGGCTGTCACAGGCTAGTCTAGCCAAATACAGCTGCATTAGGACCACTACTATATGACAGTTATGTATGCCGGCAGCGTACAAAATTCTCCTGGGCCGATCAAGGATGGCTTACCTTCACCATTAGGGTGCACACAACTTCGGACTGTTTAGCGAGGTTCAGTGTATTCCGAGTTGGTGGTTGGGCACCATTAACTCTTCAACTGCAGTAGATTTTTGTGAGAAATATTTTTGTGAATGAAGGTGGTGGTTTTTGTTGAAACCGTCTTCGTTTTTTTTAAACAGCTTCAGCATTCTTTCATTCTTTTTTGAAAAAATAGGGAGGTCTGGGTTTTCCTCTCATCCAGCTGGTTAAACCGATCCAGCTCTTAGCTAAGGCCTCCGCAGTAGACTTAACTGAGCGACGCTGTCGCATTTCCACTCGAATAAGAACGCGTGGTATTCCAGTAATGACCCTCAAGTGCAAAGGCCCCCTTTGCAGAGAACAAAATATTTAATTCCACAATTACTTGCGATGAAAACTTTGCAAATTTCACAAGCAGCAAAACCTTCCCCAAAAACTGACTGACGCTGCCAACTTTATGCATAATGATGATTCTCTTGACATCTTGACACTCAAATTGCCCAGTGCAGCAAATGCAACAACGACCACATCTTTGAGTATCGGAGCAGATACCTCAACATTTGATGGACGCAAAATCATCAGCTAACGGTTCCGAAGTCTTTTCAGATCATTGTAAAAGGAACTGAAAAATCAACGTGTTCTTCACGACAAAGTGGGCGCTTACCTATGAAACTCCACGTCACTGGTTCAGGTAATGCTAGCAGATCCTGGCATGGTTTTCGAAACAAAATAAGTGGCATTGAGCGGCGAATCTTGTTAGGACAGTGTTGGAGAATCAAGACTGTTATGGGGTGGAACTGGATGGCCGCAGCGTTGCTGTTATGAAAAAAATCAGCAGTAGTTTATGATGCATTGATGATCT